GGGGGGGGGTTGATCCCTGCAGCTCCTTGGAGAGCCCCAGTGGCCCTGCCCAGATGCTCTGTGGGGTCCTGTGCAAAGAGCCCTGCTATGGGGGGTAGAACTTCTCGTGGAGCAATTTGGGAGCTTGCAGTGACTGAATCCAGGGCCTGGGCTGCTGCAGTGGTTAGTCCCCAGCCAGCCTGTCCTGGCAGCCACACGGGCGAAGCGCTCGCACACACAGTTTGTTACGCAGGGACAGACTTTACTCAGCCCGTCACAGGGTGCTGCTCCGAGCAGAGCCAGACAGCGGCCGGGCACACGCTCGCTCCCCCGCCACACCCACCCAGCCTCCGGTGCATGGAGGCGCCGGTGACGTCATGCGGCAGATGTAGTCCGCGGGCAGCTGGAGCAGCCAAAGGGGCTGGGCAGAGTGAGGGGAGCAGGGGGAGGTCCCTGGAAGTGGGGCCTTTGCAGGCTGATCCGTTCGGCGATTGTCTTGTGTAGGTCACGGGGGTGGAGACAGCAGGTCCCCTCAGGCGCTTGGGTTCAGGCAGACGGGCGTTAGGGAGACCCTGGGAAGTAGCACAAAGCTGTCAGAGCCCTGCTCCCATATCACTGCTCCCCGCACACCCAGGCCTCCCTGCACTCACCAGCGCCAGGACTGGTGGGTACATGTAAACCGGAGTGACTCCAGTGGAGGCACATGAGTGTGGAACTCCAAGCCCCGGGGGTAGGGGCTGGCTAATGGGGCTGGGGTCCTGGCCCTTCACTGTGTGCCCCCGATTCCTCCCACCTGCTCAGATATGGGCACATCCCCTCTCCTCCCCCCGCCCCGGGCCCTGGCAGCCAAGGCTCACTGCAGAGGCAGGCGTTAAACTCACCTCCAGACACTCTCATGCACTGGTGGCCACACCCGTTACTGCAGCACTTCTCTCCTTCGGGACAGGAACCGCCAACGCCGCATAACTCCGCGCAGAGCCCAGCGCCAACCGGCTTTGGGCAACTCCTACGGCTCCCTGGGACACAGAAGGGTCATGTGGCCATGAGACGCTCAGCCCCTAGCTAAAGGCTTCCCGCTCGCTGTGGGAACGAGGGGGGAGCTGAGGGAAACGGACCAGAGCAGGACTGAAGAGAGACCCCAGCCAGGGAGCCCTGGTCGCCGCTTATCCCCCTTCTCCCCCTCAGAGCCACTCTCCCCCCTTCAGCCGCTGGGGGAGAGAGGGGCCTGGCCAGGTGAGGGAGGGCAGCTTAACCGCCCCGGCTGCTCATCGGCACCAGCAAGTGACCATCGCTGTGGCAATGCCGGCGCTTCTCCCACTGCCTCCCTGCGCCAGGGAGCGTCGCCCTCAGCCATTTGTAGTGACGTGGGACCCAAAAACCTCACTGGTCCAATGGGGCAAACGTCTGAACAGCCCCTGCTTCCCAAAGACTGCGCTGCCAGCCCGGGCCTGGAAAACCAGCGCCGAGAGGGGGCCCTGGCTGGAAGGGACTTTGTGTTCCCAACGGGATGGCCCGTCTCAGCCTGAGCCAAAGGGCTGCTGCTGACTGCACGGAAACACAGAGCTGCCTCTCAGCCGGCGTGCGGCACCTGAGGGATCACGCCAGCCACAGGGCCGGTTCGCGTTAATGATCCCTGCAGACCAGAGTTGGCAACAGAGGTCCCTCTCCTGCGCCATCTGGAGCCCAGGGTGCAGCCCGGCCAGGGCCACTGGGCTCCTCCACCAGTGCAGTCCTCAGAACGACAGAGTCCAGAGCTTGTGGCTGGCCCGTGTTGGCTGGAAATGGCTTGGACTAGCCAGTCCCCTGCGTCTGAGCCAGGCACTTCCCAGAAGACGAGCCACCATAGGGCCTGGGAGCTTGTGGACAGAGCAGGATCATAACGTCTTGTAGGCCTGGAAGGTCATCCAGTCCATCCCCGGTGGTGAGGCAAGACCAAAGACACCTAGACCAGCCCTGACAGGTGTTTGTCCAACCTGCTCTTAAAACCCCGCCGTGATGCGGGTTTCACAATCCCCCTCGCTCACCTGTTCCAGAGCTTAACTAGCCTGAGAGGTAGAAATCTTATCCTAATATCTAAGCTAAATCTCCCATCCTGCAAACTACGCTGGTTTCTCCTTCTCCTACCCTCCGTGAAGAGTTGATTCCCCTCCTCTTTACAACAACCTTTTACAGGTTTGGGCTTCTTATTCCCCTCTCTGTTGTCTCATTTCTGGACTAAAGATGCCCAGTTCTTTCAACCTTTCCTTGTAGGCAGAGGCGGATTAGGATTTTGTGGGGACCTGGGCCCCTCCCCACCCCTTCTGCCTGTAGTCCTCCTTGCCCCCCCTCCCTATGCACCTGCTGGGGAAATGGGGTCAGGGCGTGGGGGCTTCCCCCGCTCCCCAGCAGGAGCAGGTGGGCAGAGGGAATGGGGCAAGACCCCATGCCCCGACCCCGCTCCCCAGCAGAAGCACTGGGCAGGTGGAGTGGGTCGGGGGGGCGGGGCCTCCCATTTTTCCAGGGCCCCCCAATTGCCCAGGGCCTCTGGGCACAGGCCTCATTGGCCCAATGGCTAATCTCCCACTGTTCACAGGTCAGGTTTTCTAAATCTCTTATCATTTTCGTTGCTCTCCTCTGGCCTCTCTCCAATTTCTCCACGTCTTTCCTAAAGTGCAGCACCCAGAACTGGGCACACTGTCCAGCCGAGCTCGCCCCAGTGCTGAGCAAAGCAGGACAATGACGTCCCATGTCTTACACACGACACGCCTGTTAATACAACCACAATGACTTGCACCGTTTTTTCAGTAGTATCACCTTGTTGATTCGTATTCAGGGCTGGCGCAACCCATTAGGTGACCTTGGCAGTTGCCTAGGGCGCTAACATTTGGGGGGTGGCGACCGCGGCGGCTGGATCTTTGGCCGCCCCGGTTGTCAGCGGTATTTCGGGGGCGGGACCTTCCGCCACCTAGGGCAGCAAAAAAGCTGCCGGCGCTCCCGCTCATATTCAATCTGTGATCGACTGTGGCCCCCGATCCCTTTCTGCATACCGTTGCCTAGCCGGTTATTCCCCCTGTGGTATGTGTGTGTTTCCCCAGTGCAGAACTTTGCACCTGCCTTTACTGAAATTCATAAATTCTCTCCAATTTATCAAGAGTATTCATCATGGGAGTCTTCTAATCTGACATCTGTGTCCCCACCTCTCTCTGAGAGCTCTACACAGCTCTACACAGAGCTGAGAGCTAGGACCACTCTGACCCCCCGGCCTGAGCCTGGGACACCCACCCCCCTCAGTGCCTGGCACTCAGCATCTCGGGAACTCGCTGGTCCAGCTGGTCTGTAATTCTCGCTGCTGCTCCGAGGGAATCTCGTCCCCTCACCCTGTCTTTGCTGTGGTCAGTCCCATCCCTGTGCAGTGGCTCTGACAATGGAGACGGGTTTCTATTGGTCCCTGTGTCAGGTCACTGATGAGACAAACCAAGTAAGGTGTCAGGTATTTCCAAGCACCCACTGCCCTTGCCCCCTCCATGCCCTCGTCCCTTCTCTGCCTGCTGCCCGCACTCACCTCCAGATGCAGGCGGCAGCTGGGCCCAGAGGGCCAGGAGGCCCAGGAGGAGGAAGATGGCCCCTGACTTCATGGTGCTGCCGGGAGCCGGGTCTGAGTGCCCAGCGCTGAGCCGGGCTGGGATTTAAACCCTGTCCCTGCTGTGGCTGAGAGGGGAGGTGGTTCACGGTGACCTTTGGGCTCCTTCCCTGGCACAGCACCCAACTCACTGCATTTCACAATAAACCAGTTCCGCCTGTAAGTCCCCCTGCATGGAACGAGGAAACAACCCGGATCCTGTGGTCTGAGAAAAGCCCCCAAAGGAATCTGGAGAAACAGGGAGGCCCAGGCTCCAAGGTCCCGGTAAGATCCAGGGACTGATGGGGGAACATGCCCACCCCATCCCAGGGGACAGTCTCTGCTCAGTGCCCAAGACAAGGAGAAACCCTGGCATGTGTGTGTGTGTGCACACATGTGCGTGCATGCATGTGTGTGCACATGTGTGTGTGTGTGTGTGCACGTGTGCATGCGTACTCGTAATTCCTTCCTGATCCTAGGTCTGGAGGAGTGCGAGTCACCCTTTACTCCAGACATGGGGTGGGAGCCAGGTCACGGCCCGTTCCCCACCCAGTCCCCAGACTGGATCGGCTCTAGGCAAAGGCCTGAGGTGGATTCCATTCCCAGCAGTGCCCATGTGACCCCTAGCTACTGCTTCAGCCTGACAGATCCTCATCTTGGCATCACCTCTCCATAGCTGCTGGTCCCCACGCTGGCCAGGGTTCAGTTCTCAAGCTGAGACCCTTGGCCGCTGCTCTTCTCTGCACCTTCTCCAGAATTTGCGCTTCCCTCGGGAGCTGACAAGCCCGGAGCTGCATGCAGGCGTCCAGGAGGGGCCTGTCCCTGGCCTTGGGCAGGGTTTCAGTACCATGCCTGGTGTGGAGGGTGTTTGCATTGGCGCAGGCTGTGGCCGTGCACTGAGGAGACTCCAGCAGGATGAGCAGCGCAGGGCGTGTGACGCCCTGGCACCAGCAGGGCAGACAGCCTGTTCCATGTCACCACGCCTTCGTGACACTGTGTCGCCTGCTACCCAGAATCCTCTTGGCCTTCTCAGCCCCACTGCACAACGTGCCCCATCTCCATGCCCTGCTCACATGAACGCTGGGCTCCCCAGCTCACCTCCCCATCAGCCTCACTTTGCACCAGGCTGTCTCCCCACAGGGCGCTCTGGACCTCCCTGTTTCTCCAGGTTCCTTCAAGGGGGTTTCCCAAAGCCCAGGATCCGGGTTGTTTCCTCGTTCCATCCGGAGGGACTGATTTATTGTCAGACAGCACGTGCTGGGCGCTGGAGCGTAGCAGGAGCCGATAGGTCACTGCAGCCACCTCCCCCCGTTCTGATCCGGCCCCACCGAGTTTAAATCCCAGCCCGGCTCAGCGCTGGGCACTGGACCCGGCTCCCGGCAGAACCATGGAGTCAGGCAGCATCTTCCTGCTTCTGGGGCTCCTGGCCCTCTGGGCCGAGCTGCAGGCTGTCGCTGGTCAGGGAGATAAACGTGAGTAAGGGAAGTTGCCCATGGCTCAGATGAGGGTCACGGGAGCCCTCTCTTTTGTAAAGGAAGTCACAACTTGCAGAGCAAGAATTTCCCTTAAATGTGCTTTCCCTCGGGCCGTCGCTCCCAGGCCCCAGGGCTCGGAGTCTTTGTTGGAGGTAGAAGTGGCTGTTTCTCTCCTGTGGCACCCACTTTCCCCAGAAGAGCTCTCAGCTCACACCGTGCAGGTCATCGCCTCGTTCCAGAGAGCACAGGCATGTGTCCAGTGCAGATCTCTGCTCTCATCACAACCCATCTCCTCTCCCCAGGTGACATTTGCCGACTCCCGCCTGAGAAGGGCCCTTGCAAGGGAAAGATGCCGCGCTTCTTCTACAACCCGGCCTCCAGGACATGCGAAAGCTTCATCTACGGCGGCTGCAAGGGCAACAAGAACAACTTTAAGACGAAGGCAGAGTGTGTGCGTGCCTGCGGGCCTCCTGGTGCGTGGGACAGAGCCCAGCCTCTCCCTGGGCGGGGAGATGGGGGGGTGCTGCCCAGCTCCACACCATAAATTGGGGGGGGGGGTTACACTGGGGCAGGTCTCCAGCATTCAAGGAGCTCTGGTATCTCTCATGATGGGAGGTCTGGTCAAATAAAAGGACCCCTGAGTTCCAGCCCTGCTGTGGCTGGGGTGGAACCTGGGGGTCCCAAATCACAGGGCTCTGAGCCATGGCATGTTAGCCAGGAAGTCCTGAGTTCCAGTCCCAGCTGTGCTACCTACTGGTGGCCCTGGGCAGTCACTGCCACCCTGTATCATGGCTTGGCCTGCCCCCCGAAGGAGCTAACGGACACATGGGGCAGCCGGGGACCCAGGTCCCCAGCCACGAGCTGTGCAGGCGAGATCGCGCTGCCAGCATCTGACCCAGGTCTGGCCCGAGCGGAGTGTTCTACTAGGTTTGTGCTGGAGGCTTCACTTCCACCCGGAAATGCTGACAGCAGAGACTGAACGCCCGGCCCCTCGGACCCAGCCTCCCACTCTGTCCGTTGTGCAATGTGGTCTGGCTGAGCCGGGGAGCAACCGCACAGCTCTGAGTGTGCCGTGCCGTGGGCTGAGGCTGTCCTCACACACCTGCATGCAGCACTAGCACTGGGGAACGGGCCAAAGCAGCTCGGCAGGGGCACGGGAACCAAGCCCAGGGCAAGGAAGGGCCAGGACCCAGCCCATGAGCCTGCCAGACCTGATCCCGACTCCCAGGCCCCCCAGCCCAGAGCTGTCTCAGGAAGCTGGAAGTGTCTGGGGTCCTGGACCTCTGCCCAAGGAGCTGCTCGTTCAAGGTCCTATGGCAGAGGCCAGGATGCCCTTTGGCTGGTGAGCTAAGTTACAAGGCTGGTGTCTCCCCTCTGTGCCCATTCTGCATTGCAGAGAGACCCGGGGTTTGCCCCAAGATCACAGGCCCCGGCATTTGCCTGCATGGCTGCAACAGCGACTCTGACTGTAAAGAAGGACAGAAGTGCTGCTTTAATGGCTGTGGCTACACCTGCGTGACGGTGGCTCCATCAGGTGAGTCCCCTCTTCCAGCCGCAGTGACACCCGCAGCAGCTGCCGTGAGATGTTCTGCTGCCCCGTCCCTCCTGGCACGCGCACCTGTCTGCCTGTGACGGCGCCACTCTCACCAGCTGCTCTGCTGTCACACTAAGCACAGGGGGTTCGGGGAGCAGCGATACGGGACCAGGGCTCTGACGGCTTCGTCCTATTTCCCAGGGCCTCCCTAAGTCCCATCTGCCAGGACCCGGACTCCAGAAGGGACGGGCTGCCTCAGCCGCACTGACCAACTGCCGAGTTCGGATCAGCCCGAAGACAAAGTCCCGACCCCCAGGGACTCTCCCCATCCCTAGTGCTTTTGCCAGGGGAACAGGTCATGGTTTCCTGGGATTCCTTCTCTTCCTCAATAAACATTTCCTGACATCCCTGCACCTCTCGGCGTCTGCTTCATCATTTTCCAGGTCAGGCCTCTCCCAGCCTGTGCAGCCTCCACCACCCACCCCGCCCCTCCTGGGCCTTTCGGGCTGGATCCGAGGCAGATGCTTCGGTTCAGGGCTGCAATCCAGAGACCGAGAGACACTGAATTGCCAGGTGGAAACTTTCCCAGTAATCACAGACAAGCTCTGGGATGTACATTGGGAGCTCTGGGAGCAGCGACATGGATGTGACGGAGCAGGGAGCAGGGCAGATTTGACCTGGGAATGTTGCAGGGGGGTTGCAGTGGGGATGGGGGACTTCCCTTGAAGGAAGCTACCTGAGCTGTAACCTGAGCCAGGAGGGGGTGGGGAGAATTAACACCTTCTGCCCGGGAGACTGAACAAAGGAGAGGAGGAGCTGGGGGGAGGGGGAAGAGAGGAGCTGCAGGAGGAGTTTTGGTTTGGTTTCAGTTTGAGCTGGGTGGTGCAACGCAGGGAACCCCAAGCTGGGGTCTAAGATCCCTGAACCTCCCAGAGGGGCCTAATTGAGGGGGGTCTGGTCGTACCTACACGCTCTGCTTGAGACTGTGTTCCTGTCCTTAAATAAACCTTCTGCTTTACTGGCTGGTTGAGAGTCACAGTGAATCTCAGGAAGAGGGGTGCAAGGCCCTGACTCCCCCACACACTCCGCGACAATGGAGCAGACCAATCTTTACACTAGTGCCCCTGTTTTCACAATTACACAGTTTTTGTGCCTAATTTGGCCTGTGCAGCTGCACACCTGGCAAGTCACACATTTGCACATACAGTCACGTGAACTGGGCTCCCAAGTGCACTTGCATATTTGTGTACAAGCAGCTTTGGGAATGTGTCCCACTGCCTGCTCTGTCTGAGGCTCTTTGTGAAGCGGCTGCTTCTGGGGGAGATCGGGATCTCCCACCATTCCTGTCTTTATTTTGACCCGTGACTAGTCCCATTGAAGTTAAGCATGTGAGCGTGTGCAGGATCAGCACCCTCTGTGTTCCTGGCACTAACTGAGGAACTCGCGGAAAGGGCGTCTCATGTACCCTGAAATTAGGCCCACCAGAGAAGAGAAGCTCCTGTGCTGTTGGGCAGGGAAGGGGAGAGCACAGGCCAGGGACAGAGACTTATGAAACCACAAACAGAAGTTCACAGCGATATCCCAGCAGGGGTTATTTTTAAGATCCACATTTATTGAAGAGAGGCTTTCATTTCTAAAAGAAAGAGACCAAGCCAACTCCCAGTGCACGTCACATGGCAGAGAACACGCTGCGTCAACCAGACATGAAGGTGGCTCGGGCACCCAGCTACACGCAGAATGGTGGGGAAAGCAGCAGAGAGAAACACACAGCTCCGTTAACAACAGCGTTACAGGGGAGGGGACCTTTTACTCCAAGGAAGAGAATGGTGAAAACAAGAAGGGTTTTTACAAAGCCCGTCTCATTGTGTTCCCTGGTGTAGAACACACGCCCGGCCTAACTCCCCAAGGACACTAGCCCAGCACCTGCTAACTGTGTCTCTAATCTGCAGGCACCATTACGATGCCTGTCCAGGCAACGTGCGGATTAGCCTGCATGGGTGGCTGTTTGAACACCCAGTTGGCCAAATACACAGCTTGAAGGTGTATCCTCAACACTTGTTCATGGAAATCCGGCAGCCTATGACTGCACCCAGCACTGGGCTGGTGACGTGGAGAATCAGCCCCTACAGCCCTACACACAATTCCTTCCCCTACATTCTAATAGTTACAGTTACACATTTACTAAGTGCTGTACCGGCCTGAACTGGTGAGTCCTCACAGTCCCCATGAGGCAGGTCCCCCCATTCCACACCTGGGGAAACCTACACACAGATATACAATGTCTTACTGTGACGAAGTGGGACTGTTCTTAATGTTTCCTCTGAATACTGTGTGGGTGCCTCAGTTTCCCCTATGCATTTCTTAAGTCTCTAGGAGGTGGGATGAAGGCCAGTGTGCATAAATCACTGACACTCTATCTCCTAGCAACAATTGGACAGGACCCTTCCCCCCTGCAAGGAAATAGCTAAAGGTGAACAAAGAGATCAGGTGACCTCCTGGCCCGGGAAAGAGACAAAGGCCAGAAAGGAGGGGCTGGAGGAGGTTTCAGTTGGGTGCTCGCTGGGAACAGGGAAGGGAGTGCAGACGGGGGTGTCTGGCTCTCTGAACATATGAACCCAGCTGAGGGGTCCCGTTCGCCGCTGTAACTACAAGCTCTGTTTTAGACCGTGTTCCTGTCATCTAATAAACCTCTGTTTTACTGGCTGGCTGAGAGTCACGTCTGACTGTGAAGTGGGGGTGCAGGACCCTCTGGCTTCCCCAGGACCCCACGTGGGCGGACTCGCTGTGGGAAGCGCACGGAGGGGGAGAGGATGCTGAATGCTCCAAGGTTAGACCCAGGAAGATGAAGCTGTGTGAGCTTCTTGCCCTGAAGACGGTCTGCTCCGAGGGAGAGGAGGCTCCCCAGAGTCCTGACTGGCTTTGTGGGGAGCAGTTCCAGAGCATCGCCCGGGGACTCCGTGACACTTATCCAAGCCAAACGGTTACACATGGCAGAACTGAGGGTACACACATAGCAGAGCACAGAGGGAATATACCCAGCCCCAATCCTGGGTTCATCCACTAGGCCATCCTGGCTCTCTCTTTGCACGTTTAGTAAAGCCATGACTTATTCACACACTGTTTACACTTGGCACCTGAATCCAGGGTTAAGTGCCTGTTTGCTCACTCCACAATTCTTTCTCAGGAGCCTTCCAGAAATGGAGCTCAGTTTTGATGTGCACAGCTGGGTAACTGAGTCATACATCTGGTTTCCAACACATTACCTCAAGTCTACACTGTCCCCAGGAGAATGGAGTGGCAGAGGCCCGTCCAAGCTGCCCAAATGGATTCAAAAGCCAAACAATCCACTTCTAAAGTTCATGAGCTCCAGAGCAACACCTGTTCCCACACTGAGGGCAGCACAGGAGGGAACTTCCCAGAAACCTCCAGCAGTTAGATACTCAGAGCTGTGCAGGGGTGAGAGAAGATGTTTTATGGCAACAGACCATCTCCTGGGCCTACATCCTGGAGAGCAGCTTAGAACCGAAATGAGTGTTAAGAGCTAGTGGAGTGAGTTGGTAGCAGGCCAAGGCTCAGTGGAATTCCCTAGATCTTCCAGACTTATCCAGGCATTTCAGGGGGACTCTGGCACCTGGTGCTGGTTCCAACCTCCACAGCTGGTGCTGAGGCTTGTTAGTATAGATTAAACTAGCAGAATTTGTCCAACACAGAGTGGCCTGCTACACCGCTCTCTAATGGCGATGTATGACATAGCCAGTGTCAGGTGACCATTGAAGATCCTTTGGCAAGAGTGCTAATAAAGTGACGCCTTTACTGAGAACATAGAGAGTCACCGCCGTTAGAGATGGAAAACGCCCGTTAGCTCATTCAGCCCGTTCACGCCATGGGGCACCAGCAGAGGATGTTTCAGATTTTAAAATGTTTATTAACGCTAATGTTAAAATTCTCTAAGACACAGGTTAAGGAAAGAGTGTCTGTACATCTGGGTATAAGGCTTAAATTATCCAAAAGTACAAAGTTTGGTTTAAAAGCCATAAAATACATGTAGTACATAATCTGCAATATCCCAAATTAGGGCTAATAAATTTAACAGTACAGTTTAGATATTAGCAGCCAAATATTCAGGTACATAAAAGGTTATACTAAAAGTAGTTTGTGGAAAGCAAATATAGCAATGATCTATGCTGTCCCTCAGTAACTGAGACTGTAGGATACGTTGTCCCTCAGTAAACACAATCCATTAGAGAAGCGAGTCACAGCCGTTAGAGATGGAAAACACCAGTTAGTTCATTCAGCCCATTCACTCCATGGGGGCCCAGCAGAGGATGTATCAGATCCCAAACCACAGCTCTGATTACTCTTAGCCAAAAGGTCTGGCTGACCTTGGGGCAGGGGGAGCCACATCAGAAGGAGAATTTGTGAGTAAATGAGTTTTCCTTCAACTCGGAATTCCAGCTCCCAGATGAAGACACTGGCCCCAGGCCCAGCCTGAAGGTGTCCAGAGGGAATGGCTCTGGGTGCACCATGCGATGGGACAGGTACCCGAGAAGAACTGGCCTGAACCTGGACACTGCTAGGAGTGGAGAACATCAATGCCAGGGGCTGGCTAACCCATCAGGAAAGATTTAATAAGAAAGAAAATATATCTCAAGAAAAAATGAGCTGAATCAAAGTGCTCAGACACTAGGGTGATGAGCTTAGAGTAAGAGCCTGGAGAGAGAACCCCAACGTCCCCTTGCACCCTACTCAGGCCAGGAAGCAAAGATCCCTGAACATTGATTTCCTTCACCCAGAGAGAGTGATTCTGGAGCAGTAACCTTGTCATTCAATGAGGCAGCATGTTCCCAGGCAATCACTAGTAAAAGAGAAGGGAGAGCTGGAAAAAGTCAAACAGGAAAGAGAGGCTCCTGTTGCCAGGAATGTATTTGCTGGCTGATCTGATATCAGAAGGTTTCCATGTCCGGGTCAATGAGGTCTGAGGAAACTCCCCTCAATAGTCTGAATCATCATCTCCCTCGTCAAAGTCACCAGCCCCATCAGATCCTCCATCCTGCAGGTAAGAATCGACATCTCCCTCGTCAAAGTCACCATCCCCATCAGAGCCACCATCCCTCAGGTAAGAATCAACATCTCCCTCGTCAAAGTCACCAGCCCCATCAGAGCCATCATCCTGCAGGTAAGAATCGACATCTCCCCCGTCAAAGTCACCAGCCCCATCAGTGTCACCATCCCTCAGGTAAGAATCGACATCTCCCTCGTCAAAGTCACCAGCCCCATCAGCGCCACCATCCCGCTGGTAAGAATCGACATCTCCCTCGTCAAAGTCACCAGCCCCATCAGCGCCACCATCCCGCTGGTAAGAATCGACATCTCCCTCGTCAAAGTCACCAGCCCCATCAGCGCCACCATCCCTCAGGTAAGAATCGACATCTCCCTCGTCAAAGTCACCAGCCCCATCAGAGCCACCATCCCGCTGGTAAGAATCAACATCTCCCTCATCAAAGTCACCAACCCCATCAGTGTCACCATCCCTCAGGTAAGAATCGACATCTCCCTCGTCAAAGTCACCAACCCCATCAGAGCCATCATCCTGCAGGTAAGAATCGACATCTCCCTCGTCAAAGTTATCATCCACATAAGAGCGAGTATCCCTCACATTAGAATCACCATCTCCCCCATCAAAGTCATCAGCCATGGCAAAGTCACCATCCTGCAGGTCAGAATCATCATCATCTCTCCCACCATACACAGGTCTGTCATCAGATTCAGGGTCTCCACTGGATCTAGGTTTTACAACAGACACGGGGTTTTCACTGGATACAGGTTCTGCACCAGACACGGGTTTTCCATTAGACTCAGGTTCAACTCCAGACACCGGTTCTGTTACCCCCAACACAAGGTTTTCCTTCAGCTCATCTTCTTCTGATATGTGTTTCCCTGGGTCATCGCCAGGGAGAGGAGAACCTGTGGCAGGGATCCCTGAAAATGGGAGAGAAAACAGGAGAGTCAAAGACCCAAATATGCCTCAGTCACATATGACTGCTCCCAATCCACCCTTCGCACTTTCTTCACGCTGCAGCAACCAGTCTCTAGGATATGGGCATTGCCCCTTACCTTGGATAGTCTGTAGGTACCTGTACATATGGTATCTCATTCTATTCTGTTCTGCTCTATTTCAGTTCTTATACTGCACCCATCCCTGTGGTATCTGAGCACCTTCCAGAGGTGCAGTAAGTAACACGACTAGTGTCTCTCAATATGGTTCTCGCTCGGTTTCACCTTTCCTCTCGCACGAGGACATTGTGTATGGGGGAGGGTTATTTTAATTTTTTGTTATTATCTATTTTCTATCTGCTGTGCTCTGTGTTTTTATTACTGAAGGCAGATCAAATAGGCGAGCTTTGTATTTGAAATAGAAAATGGTGAGCTTCAAGGTGGTTCTTAAATCCTGCAGGTGTTCATTCCAGTCATGGACTGGCCCCTGAGAAAAGCTCTGTCTCCTGTACACATCAGCTTTACCCTTGTAGTGGACAGCTCCATTGTTCCTGGGGAGCAGAGGTGTCAACCCCAGGCCTCATCCCAGCGCTTTTGGCAATTGTTTAGGTGTCTTAGGCTCACACTATTTTGTACTGTATAAACCCAAGACCTTGGATTTCACTCAATAGTCTATGGAAAGCTACTGTCATGAGTAGAGAACGTTTGACGTGCTCGGGGAACCCTGTGATGCTGAGCAGACTGTGACTCAAGAACCTCTCAATGGCAAGTGGCCAAAGGATGCGGGGAGGGAAGGGTGGCAGAAATCTCCTGATTCTGGTAGGTACATTTTGGTTCACCAAAGAATGCCATGTGAGGTCTCAGATGAAAGCCAGTGTCACGTTAGTCATCAATATCATTGTGAAAGGTATGTACAGATACTAGGGAGTTATGTATCTACAGTATACTGAAGCCTGTGTATGAAGGTTGCCCACCAGCAGAGGTGAAAAACAGGTTTTGTCAGACAAGGCGTGTTTATTCATCTCTCTGTTCACATTAAGGAGTATTGTCTCATTCACAATGAACCTCCTACCACCAGTCTGTACTGAATGCAAATGAAGGGATTGTAAGCTAGAACTATCAGGAAAAGAAACACAATGCGCAAGAGACCTTTATCTTGGGGTGCACTTTGAAGGTTTGCTCGACTTTTAGGGGGCGGAGAAGATACCCAGGCACACTTCCCTGAGGAAGAAAAGGACAGCACTTTTGCTTCATGAAAAAGGGCTCTCAGCCAGGCTTGGCTGAAAATGCTGAAGAGAACTGCGGGTGTGATAAACTCCTTGAGACGGGTCCTGAGTTGACTCTTATAAGCTGGGCTGGGCTGGTCCTTTGGAAATAGCAGACCTGGTAATTGTGTGACTGTCCAGTGGAACAGTCCATGAACTCAGGGGTGGTTGTGTGCCTATCGCTGCCTGTGCAGAGAGAGCGAGACCTGGGGGGGAGGAGAGGGGGCTGGAAGGCAGGACTTGTGCTGCCAGAGGAAGTGGACTCGGAGCTGATTTAGAGCAGGCAGAGAGAAGACTGCTTCACACTAAGGGCAGGGAATGGTGAGGTGTCTCCCAATCCTGGGGACCCCTGGGAGCGTCACTGAGACGTGCTGCTGCATCCTCTCCTACTGTGCATACAAAACGATGGGTCGGAATTAGCTGTTACTTCTCAAGAGAGAGACGGTGGCGCCATCGTGGATAGTTCTCAGAAAACACCTGCTCAGCGTGAAGCAGCAGTCAAAACAGCGAACAGAATCCTAGAACCACGAGGAAAGGGATAGAGAATAAGAGAGAAAATATCATCTTGCCTCTATATAAAGTCATGGTCGGCCCACACCTAGAACGCAGTGTGCAGCTCTGGTTGTCCCATCTCCCAAAAGAGATATGAGAATTGGAAAAAGTCCAGAGAAACTACAACAATGATTAGATCAAGTATGGAACAGCTTCCGTGTGATGATACAGGACTGTTCAGCTTAGAAAAGAGACGACTACGGGGGGCTGTGATAGAGAGCTATAAAATCATGACTGGGGTGGAGAAAGTGAAGAGTTCTTTACCCTTTTACAGAACACAAACCAGGGGTCACCCGGGAGATGGGTTTCTTCATTGTTGGCTGGACTCTTGGGAGTTCGAAGGCAGGAGGGAAGGTTTCTTCAGTAAAGCTGTTTCAGTCAGGATAGGCACCAGTTACCTGTGGCCCTTTTTTATTAGCCAGGAAGAACAAGCATCAAACTCCCAGGTGTTTGCTTGAGTCTCCTTCAGGGTGTCCAGTGCTCGTGGCGTCAATGAGCTGAGCTCATGGGGGCAGGTGGTTTCTTGGCTGGCACAGGGGATCACATCCTTGCAGCCCAACAAGACTTCCTGGATGTTGGGGATCTTTTCTCCTCCTGCCTTCAGTGCGAGTTAGCAAGGCCCTTCCTAGCAGGTGGCTGAACTGCTTCAGAGGAAACGAAAAGAGGCCCAAGCGTCTGACCCGTTTGTAGTTCACCTACCCCCATTGCCAACTGGCACCAAAACCCATTCCACTCCCACCATCCCACTCCTCCTACAGGCACAGAGCAAAATGTCAAAAGCTTCCGTCTCACTGGAACTCAGGATCCCTTGATCTGTCTCTAGACCCATATCCTGCCTCCAGCAGTGGCCAATATCCGAGACGGGGAGACCCCCTCCAGCAGAGCTCTCCTGACCAATTGTGCATTGTTGTTTCTTGGAGTAAAATCCCCTCCTGACCATGAGATTTGATTTCCTGAGCTCAGCAAGTATAACTACAAATGCTGTGAACAGTTACAAAACTCTCCAGGAATAAGAAGCAAAAGGCTCACTCTGCAAAATGTCTGCTGGCCCAGGGGCAGCGAGTTATATGGGCCTGTGGTGCCCATGCTCCAGGAATATTCAGGGCCCAGGGGCCCGGCTCCACCAATGTTCAGGGCCAGGTCTTTCCCCCGGCCCCGCCTGCTGCCCCCACATGCCTCCCAGCCCCACCTGCCGCCCCCAGGCGATTTAAAAGGGTCCGGGGCCCCCGACCACAGTCGCCACCACTGGCAGTGCAGCGGGGCTAAGGCAGCTTCCTGCCCACCCTCACTCCACCCCATTCCCAGAAGCAGCCCGCACATCCCTGTGGCCCTGGGGGGGTAGGGTGTCTCCGCGTGCTGCCCCCGCCCCAAGCACCGATTCCGCAGCTCCCATTGGCCAGGAACTGTGGCCAATGGAAACTGCGAGGGCGGTGCCTGCAGGTAGGGGTGAGTGGAGACCCCCTGGTCCCCTCGCCTAGGAGCCACTGCCAGAGGGGTGTGCGAATCGCTTTTGGGAGCCGCCCGAGATAAGAGCCATACCCCTCACCTTCTCCCACATCCCTGCCCCAGCCCAGAGCCCACACCCTGCACCCAAACTCCCTCCCAGAGCCCGCACCCCAACCTCCCGCCCCAGCCCAGAGCCCACATCCCGCATCCACACTCCCTCCGAGAGCCCGCACCCAAACTCCCTCCCAGAGCCTGCACCCCCTCCTGCACCCCAACCCCCTGCCCCAGCCCAGAGCCCACACCCAAACTCCCTCCCAGAGCCCACACCCCTCCCACACCCAAACTCCTCCGAGAGCCCGCTCCCCTTCCTGCTCCACCCAGAGCCCACACCCCTCCAGCACCCAAACTCCCTCCCAGAGCCTTAAGCAGATGTGTGGGGGGATGGGACTTGGACCTATTCTGGGCACCACCAAAACGTATACAGATCTGCTGCCCCTGCTCTGGCCTGTAGTGACACTTCTAGGAGAAGCTTTGAACTCAGCCCCGAGTCCTCTTTTCACATCTACTCCTCCTCTCACTTCTCATTCTCTACTCCAAGTCCCCCCACTGCTCAGGAAGGGGCCACTCAGGGCATCATGAAATCACAGCCTTCCTGGTCTCCGAAGGTAGGGTAGGGCAGACTAGAGATTCTGACACAGAACGTAGTGTCTCCCTGTCTGCAAGGTTCGAATACGACTGACCAAGACCTGCTGTGTCGGTGGCCAGGGGAGATGCGTGCTGCGGCTGGGAGAGTGGGCTGAGTCTCATCTGGAAGGAAGACAGTGACAATCAGCGGTGATGGGATTCCATGTCTGACCATGTGTAGTACTCAGAGCATCCTGCGTGTCACTAAGACGTCTCAAAGGTGGTGGCTCTCGCAGATCCAGCCAGTCTCCCATGTTCAGTGTCTGCATGAGGTTTCTTGTCCAGATCATTTCCCAACACAGAGTAGATTATTATGAAGGCACTGATGCTAGGCAGCCATAGAACAGGTACTTCTTGTCCCCTGAGCGCTGCCTAGGCGTAACTGCCACGTGTTCATGACCACACCCCTGTTACTGCTGCGCTGGCATCCTGTGGGACATTCCTGTCGCTGATTCAGCCCCACAAAGGAGTCGTGCAATCGGTGAGTCTCACAGGTGTCACATGGCAGCCAATAATAACTCCATGTGGAATGAGAGAGGATCCTGAAGAAATGGGCCAAACGATCACTGATGACGGACCTCTGCCCCCATCTCTGAATCCCTATTCTCAGCCCCGAGGCCCTGCTCCAGGCCAGGACGTTTCCTTCACTAATCAGCTCTGCTCCAAGCCAGCCATTGCCCTGCACAGGCCAGCTGGGGTATCGTGTACTCAGCCCATAGGAAACCTCATGTTCCCAGACCTAAGACATAGAGCAGGATAACGCTGGGACAGGGGC